GAACGACGTCCGAATTTTTTTTATTTCCTGATTTCAAGGTGAGTGTGGAAAGTGAATGAAAAATAAGTGTTTTGCAGATTGATAGGAAAACGAATATAAATTCCGAATTAACTGGTACGAAGTATTTCAAAGAGCAGATATCGAACGACGTGCAGAGTGAGAAGTTGATTGAAGCCAATTTGATTTGATTGACATTCAGACCGAAACATTCAGTGGCCAGCGAGAATCCTGTCGTTTTATAGTTCCCACGTCGAAGAGGGCGTGTTTGCAACTACTTGCTTTGTCCGTTTTTCTATGGTCGGCCGAGTCGTCAAATTTGTGCTACTAGGAAAGTGGAATGTAGAGAGGATGGACGAGTGGATGTAATGGAGTGGCGGGTAAAGGTTAACTGTGGCAAGGTTACTTGACAGATGAGGTCAGGGCTGACGAACTACTCCGCCAGAGAATCGCGCCAGATTCTTTTTAGCTTCGCGCGATACGAATCAGCTGACTTTTTTTTTTTCTTTTTTTTTTTTTTTTCTATTAACCAACCGACCACGCAGCTGTTAAAACGAAAATAAAATAAACTCGAGGAGTCGTTAAAACTTGTTGCTGGAGATCATTGAAATCTGTACTCTAATATTATTCTACGTGGAAAAGTCATTTATTTGTAATATAATTATAATTTTGTGCAACATTAATAATTCTAAGTAGTTTTATAACAATGTTAAATAGTAGTAAAAGTTAAATAAAGTAATTTTATACAACATTGAACGATGCAATTGAATAATACATATTCAAGTAGATAATACAAATATAGATTTTATAGATATGAGTAACCTCTTTGGTGAATCAATATATGTATTTATTATACATTGCACTTGTTGTTAGACATATTTTCAATATGTTTCACGTTTTTTTTTTTTATACATATAAAATCTCCACTTTTTCAACAGAGAAAATTCATGAAAATCGGTTGTGTCGAAAGAGGAGACAAGTTAAATAAACGTTGCAAAACTACGATTATAAATGAATATCTCCGATGGGCGGACAAAGAAGTATAAATCAAAACTGTCGGTTTCACAGGGAATATTGAAATATCGAACTCTCGAAATATTTAAATTTAAAGCGCAATGCCAGATGTTAGATTATGAACGTGAAAATTGAAAAAAAAAAAAAAAAAAAAAAAAAAACGAGAAAAAGAAACTTCGAAGATAATAATGTGAAAGTTGATGACAAA